ACATGAACAGACACAGAAGCACAAACTGTGTCGAGTCCACTTCAGCCAATGTATTACCCGATCAACAACAGCCTTTTCCTTCGCCTTCACGATATGCATATCCTCTCTTAGGGTGTCCAGCCTGCCCATCATATCTGGTGTTCGAGAGTCGTAACCATGGACTTCATCTGTAGCCACCGATCCTACCTTTTGGACTGCTCAATCCCCACAAACGATGAGAAAGTTCAAGCCTGCAGAGATTAACTAGGATAAAGCTGAAAAGAATGCACTTCTCAACTTTATCCCCTTCTTGCATTCTATTATAATGCCGATTACCAGCAGTGCAAATCTAAGCACAAAGAACAATGTTCTTAATGAAGAGAAAGAAGAAGACGTCATTCCTGTGAAGGGTAAAAGTCCACAAGATGCCAATTCACCCACTGTCACAGCTGCTTATATGCCCTAGCCTAAGAGAAGTCTTACCTTGTCCTCGCTGCTCCTCCACTCCCATGCTTTCACCCTATAAGAAAACTTACATTTAGTTAAAGGAATGGAAAATGCTAAAAATTTAAAATTATTTTAACAGCTGGTATGAAGAAAATTTTAATGCATTTAAATTACTCCTAATAACTCTTAATTAAAAGAGGTCGGTGTCTAAAAGTGCATTTTAGGACCTATATTAGGAACTACTCTGACATCCTGGAATGACGGCTTTAAGGTACTTCTGTTTGATTTAATCAATTTGACAAAGCTTTTGCCCGCAGTGGGATCCTTCGCTCCGTGCATTCAGATTATTGAAGGTCTGTCCTGATGAGTATTTTTCTTTGCCCTTTTTTGGATTAATGTTTTTCTCGTCAACCCAGCTTCTCGCGGATGACTTTACGTTTCATGTGTTTGACCGGTCTTTTATCACTTTTGATGAGCTACTCCGACACAGTAAGTCAATTGGATGAATGCCAGCTTTTTATTTGTGTTTTTGAAGCAGGCACTACAAATGCTGAAATTGCCACAACCGTCCTTCGTTTTCTCCTGCATGCATGTTCGGTTGTTTACTATGACTTAACATCTGAGGCTTTTGATGTGCTAAATGGGTTCTGCGAGAAGCTTGCATATCGCTTCTCGAATCAGGTTCGGATTTACTAGTGGTATGAGCTTAACACACTGACTTGTGCACAGCAACTACGGAGCGCTTACGCGTTGTCTCTGATGGTGGGTTTGTGAACACACTAACTGTTTTTCGCTCACATGTGTGATGTAGGCCCTTGCTGCCCGTCTTCCCGGTGCCTCGGAAAGGCTAGCTAATCTTCGAAATCTAAATTCTGGGATGCAGCTGGCGGAAACTGGTAAGGGACTGTCTATCCAATCATTAGCACTCAGCACTTCTGCTTCAGCCACCTGCAGGTCAAGCATGTTACGAGGTATGCCTGCGGAGTGCAGTCAGCTTGTTCACAGTGGTTTGGCCTTCCAAGGTATGCGTTTCTGTTTATGCAAACCAGATACATACAATTTTCAGTGTCTGTGGATGTTGAGAAGTTGGACAAGTCAATCAACCTTAGGGATGTTATAGAACTCGCGAATGGCCCAATCAACATGTTCTTTATGCCGCACACTTCCCGGTGCGTTGAATACCTGGACAGGAGTCTTCATCTCATTTGCGAAGCGCTAAAGAGATGTGAACGTACAAGCTTCGAGTTCGCCCTCTTCGGCGTAAGTTTTTTCTTTTTGGGCCCTTTCCCTCTCTTTTCTTAAGGAAAAACTGTGATAAACAGAGGCTTGTGGTCGTGTTCGGTCTAGAAGATCGCATCATTCCAGTGGCATTGTCGTCTTTAGCTCGGACATTGTTCATCGAGGTTGGTATTTAAGAGAATGATATATGGCATGTTTCCTTGTGCAGCTTCTAAAGGGTCTCTCCTTCAGTGGCGTCATAGATGTCTCATCCCGCAAATGGTGACATCTGCAAAGGTACGTGTTGTGCTCGCTGTTTTCGACTGTAGGCTTATGTACGTGTATTTTGCAGCTTTGTCTTCTACAGACTCTCTTTCGGGAATTTATACGTCTAAAATGGCCAGGCATAGCAAATGATGTAGATCCTGCAGCATTCAAGGAACTCCGGGGTCTCCTCAACTGGATGTTCAGTTCCGGGGCTCTTCAGTTTAATCTAACTGATAGTGAGGAAGACAATAAGAATCGTCCAAGAGGTTTTTTGGAGCAGCTGGAAACGGTGAGGATTTATATTTTGCTGTGAAACTATTTCGTGTCTGACTCGAGGAATCTCAGGTAGAAGTCGGTGTGAATGTCTACCTGCTTATTGTGTGGCTGGAAGTGAAGGGTGGGACTGATTATTGCGGCTGGCTTGCCACTACTGAGCAAGTACGCGACTCATGGTTGAAACCTTTGCTGTAGCAGGAAGTCGAGATCACAGAACCGCTCTTTAACAATTACCTTACGGTGGCACGATCGGTAATAGAGTATGCTTTGCTCGTAAACAGCGACCCTCAGATCGTCATAGAGGAAGGCCTCCTCCCTGCTAATGATTCTGTGCACTCACGGAAGAAACAGAGGTGGGAGTCACTTTATACTATTCAGGTTGTTATGGCAAAAAAAAAAAAAAAAAAAAAAAAAAACCAACCTCAGTAGATCTCCACCTAAACTTGCGTTACTAGTAGTAGTAGCTTCTCTACAGGGTCCCATAGCGCGCTGAAGTAAGTTTCTGCACGAGGCCACGACATAAAAACTTTGGAACTTTGGACCTCTTTAAGTAGACCTTCTCCTCCTCCTCACCCTGTCGGACACAGCCCGCTTACAAGTTATTGTAGAAACATAGAACAGACACTCCATTAATGTTGGAGATGCTGAGTTCTCGCAGGTGCCCCCAAAACGTGGTCATGATATGGGATCCCATCCGAGACGTGATATACGTCTCCATTCCGTTGCAGAAACCAAGTGTAGGTAAGTGATGTCAATATACCAATATCAAGATCATTGCCTACCATGTAGCCAGATTTGGGACAATACGTTCTCGTTCCCAATAGCATCCTTTTGAGTTGACCCGGGAAGGGCGTCTGCTGTTTTGACCTCGAGACTGATTTTCGAAAATGCGTACTCGTAAGCACCTGTTATAGTTGGGTTACGATTTTAAAGACAGACAATTAGAATACCTGAGGCCGAGTTGAAAAACATGACGTACGAAGATGCATCTGGAACACCTTTCTGATTTGAGCAAGAAAAACGCTTTGCCGATGGTCGAAGGAGATTATGTCTAATTCTTTTCATACTCGGTTTCAGCTTGTAAATTGCTTTGTGAATTTCATTTCTAGCCACTCACTCCTCAATCGCAGGGACCAGAAAAATATTTTATGATCGCTCCAATTTTCCTTCAGTGTATCCTCGATCATCATAAAATTGATTGAATCAAGCAAGCCCATAAAAAGCCTAGAATCAAGACAAAAACAAGTGAAACAATTACATTTGACACAAGAAGGCAATTACCTCTGAGAATCCTCTTCACATGAAGCGACAATGGCCTGGTTACGAGAATGAGGCTCATGCATGAACCGAGGCTCGAGTTCCCATTGAGATCCCCATCGGTCCATTGCGCGGGACACCTCCTTCTCAAAGCCACGCCACTTCTTAATATTTTCTTGTGGCAGTGCATGAAGATTGCTCGATCCTGACATTTGAGTTGCTATAAGTGGTGCATATGGATGAGATTTGAGGAGTTGCATTCGGAATTTTGCAACTGCTGAGATATTGTTCCAGTTTGTTATACGCCCAAGCACCTGCACCATTTTTCAAAATAAGTATATTCACAAAGATTTCTCTGTTTTCCTTCTTACATTCTTATAGCTGCTGAGTACCCGTGATCATCATGACGGACGAATGCGCGCTTCGTCGACCTCGCACGCTCGCTCAGCCTAAACCCTAGTTTTAAAACATCCAAGGTTTCGGAATAGGGCAGAGCAAGAGCGATGATGTACAGCGCGAGACCGGCCCAGCAGAGGAACTGGCAGGAGCTGGTTGCTAAGGCCGTGAACTGGGAGGATTTGAGCGGCGCTCTGACATCCTGGAATGACGGCTTTAAGGTACTTTTTATTTATTTATCAATTTGACAAAGCTTTTGCCCACAGTGGGATCCTTCGCTCCGTGCATTCAGATTATTGAAGGTCTGTCCTGATGAGTATTTTTCTTTGCCCTTTTTTGGATTAATGTTTTTCTCGTCAACCCAGCTTCTCGCGGATGACTTTACGTTTCATGTGTTTGACCGGTCTTTTATCACTTTTGATGAGCTACTCCGACACAGTAAGTCAATTGGATGAATGCCAGCTTTTTATTTGTGTTTTTGATGCAGGCACTACAAATGCTGAAATTGCCACAACCGTCCTTCGTTTTCTCCTGCATGCATGTTCGGTTGTTTACTATGACTTAACATCTGCGGCTTTTGATGTGCTAAATGGGTTCTGCGAGAAGCTTGCATATCGCTTCTCGAATCAGGTTCGGATTTACTAGTGGTATGAGCTTAACACTTAGTGACTTGTGCACAGCAACTATGGAGAGCTTACACGTTGTCTCTGATGGTGGGTTTGTGAACACACTTAACTGTTTTTCGCTTACATGTGTGATGTAGGCCCTTGCTGCCCGTCTTCCTGGTGCCTCGGAAAGGCTAGCTAATCTTCGAAACCTAAATTCTGGGATGCAGCTGGCGGAAACTGGTAAGGGACTTTCCAATCATTAGCACTCAGCACTTCTGCTTCAGTCACCTGCAGGTCAAGCATGTTTCGAG